GTTATGTGCCGTCGAGTCGGCCCCGACTCATAGCGACCCCTCCTTGGGTTTCCGAGGCAGTATCACTACGGAAGTAGGATTGCCCAACCTTCCTTCAGAGGAGTGGCTGGTGGGTTTGAACCGCCAGCCGTCTGGTTAGCAGGCAAGTGTCTTAGCCACTATGCTACCAGAGCTCCTATAGACAGTTCTTAAAAGAGCTGAGCGCTCAAGGCAGACACTTCACCAGTTAAGCTAAATCTACTCTTCGGGTTTAAGAAGATTTTAGGGGGTACTTTTGGTTTACGGTTTCAAGATTATCTCAGGGCAGTAGTTTTGGGAGGTTATCCAGCCTCAGTGGCTGCAGAAAGTCTGGACTCCATGAGAATTTGAAATTCTGGTCTGCATTTTCCCCTTTTGATCAGGGTTCGTCTACTGAGTCTTTAATCAAAGTGTTCGTAGTGGAAGCCAGGTACCACCCAGTTCTGGTCTCATGGCAAAGGCTCCACAGGGTTTTCTTTTTTTTTATGGTGACTTGGGTGACAGAGCAAATTCACTTTCCATAAGCAGTTCACATATACTTTGTCTCATGACAATGACCACAGTCCACCCCAGTTCCACAGGGTTGTCAATGCTGAGTTTTGGAAGATTGCCAGGCCTTTCTTCCAAGGTGCCTGTGGGTGGAACTGAATCACCAACCTCTTGGTTAGCAGCTGAGTGTTTTAACCACGGACACCACCTGGGACCCCCTGGGACTCTTTGTTGTTATGTGCTGTTGAGTCGGACCCGACTCATAGCAACCCCTTCTTGGGTTTCCGAGGCAGTGTCACTATGGTAGTAGATTGCCAACCTTCCTTCCAGGGAGTGGCTGGTGGGTTTGAACCGCCAGCCTTCTGGTTAGCAGTCAGGTGCCTTAGGCGCTATGCTGCCAGAGCTCCCCCTGGGACTCTTACCTTCTGCAAAATATCCAGTAGCAGCTGAGCATCTGACGAATCCCTTAACTTCTCTTCTAGGCTCTGATTGGAGGAGAGTTTAAAAGAAAAAGGGATGTCAGGGAGTTTCACAGGAACACTGAACATGAACAGCACATGCAAGGTGCTTAAGCGTCCCTTCCCAGGACTTGGAGCCAGTCGGCACTGGAAGACCCAGTGGCTGAGAGCCTCACCTTGGGATGTCATGGACACACCTGGATGTGTCAAAGGAGGCCTGCGACAACTGAGTCAGATGGGGGCCGGTGAACAGGAATATACTCTAGACCTATGATACATTCAGCTGAGGATAATCTTGCATGGATACTAGTGATACAAAATCACCACAGTCATTACAGAAGCAATAGAAGACAGACTTGGAGTAATTCCTCACAGACAGCCAGACACCTTGGGGGAGAGAACCACCAGGTCTGCTGACTCAGGACCATAGCACTGGGGACACCAGGCTCAACTGGCATAACATAATACATAAAAATCTTATTTCACAACCTACTTTACTGAGTAGTGACTGGGGTCTTAAAAGCTTGTAAGCGGCCATCTAGATGCAATGATGGGTCTTTCCTTGTCAAGAGCAAAGAAGAATGAAGACAACCAAAGATGCATGGAAACAATTAGTCCAAGGGACTGGTACACCGTTTAGTCCTCAGCCTATATAACCATGAGACCAGAAGAACTAGAGAGAGCCCAGCTACTACTGTCAACCACTCAGAGAGGGATTGGTGCAGGAGATCCTGGATAGAGTGGGAGAACAGTGTGGAACAAAACTCAAAATCATTAAAAAAAACAAAACAAACACAAAAAACAGGTTTGCTGGCTGATAGAGCCTGGTGAAACCACTGAGACTATGGCCCCTAGCTACCCGTCAGGTCTGGAACTGAACCCACGCCTGTGGCTTCCAGCCAAACAACAGACAAAAGTGAACATTTACATCAGGTAGATACACTCCTTGGAGAGATCAGTCATGGGAGAACAGAAGGGCAGTGCTTGCACAGGGAGACAGCTCGGGGGGAGCAGGAGTGCATGGCAAGGCAGGACACAGGAAAGGGGTAACTATGGGGAGGAAGCGCGAAGAGAGCCGTTACACTGGGGAACTGTAGACGATGTCAGGAAACAAAATGTCTGTGAACTGCTGTATGGAAAATGAATTTGTGAACTTTCACCCAAAGCACAATAACAAGGAGGTCTGCTAGAAGCTAGAGTCCTGCATGCCATCCGCCCTTGCTGCTCAGCTCTCACTCGAGTTGCACACTAGCTACACAGCTGAACTGGCTGGCTGGGAAGCTGCCGTGCACTTGATCTCAGAGTCCAAACAAAAATACTGAATGTGCAAATGCCAAGCCCAGTAAGCAAACGCCCGCTGTCCTCTTACAGGGGACCGGAGCCCAGCAGCTCACTGCAGCTTGAGTCAGGCTGATCGTCTCGTTCGGCATGTGATGCTGGGTAAGGCATTTCATTTCTGCCAAGCTCCTCATTGTCGCTGTTGGGTGCCGTCCATTCCGACTCACAGTGACCCCATGTGACAGACAGGAACTGCCCCATGGGGTTTTCTCGGCTACGATCTTTATCCTGGGTAGGTCTGAACCTCCAACCTTTTGGTGAGCAGCTGATTGCTTAACCGTTGTGCCACGAGGGCTCCACACTTTAAGAGGCCTCCTCTCTGACCTCATCTCCTGCTACTCCTGCCCCACCCTATCACTCCCCACCAGGCACACTGGCCTCAGTGCAGTTCCCAAACACAGCTAGCTTGTTCCCACCACAGGGCCTTTGCATGGACTGCTCCCCAAGACCTTCCCATGGTCAGCTGCTCAAATGGTGCTTCTGTGGGAGCCCTTCCTTGACCCCCCTACTTTGATGAATCCTCCCTCCCTCCCCCCAAACTGCTCATTTCACAGCTCCCTGTTTTACTGACAACACACCCACTCTCCTTATACCAGACAGTGTTTCACTCTATTTATAAGGTTTCCAGCAGCCAATTTTTTCAAAAGTGGATGGCCTCGTCTTCTTTCTAGTCTGTCTTAGTCTGGAAGCTCTGCTGAAACCTATTGACCACGAGTGACCCCATTGTCATCTGAAATACCAGTAGCACAGCTTCCAGCATCACATGCCACCACAGTATGACAAAGTGACAGAAAATCCAAAGAGGAAGAAATTAAAGTTGTTTACCAACTTCTGGAGTCTGAAATTGATCAAATGATGTATTGCTAATTACTAGTGACTGGAATGTAACAGCTGGAAACACAGAAGCGCATCGGTAGTTGGGAAGTATGGCCTTGGTGAAAGAAATGATGCTGGAGACCACATGACTGAATTTTGCAAAACCAACGACTCATTCACTGCAAATGCCTTTTCTCAACAACATAAATGGCAGCTACACCGTGGACCCCACCAGGTGGAGTGCACAGGAATCAGACTGACTGCATCTGTGGGCAGAGATGATGGAGAAGCTCAATATCATCAGGTCAGAACAAGGTCAGGAGCTGACTGTGGAACTGATCATCGACTGCTCAAATGCAAGTTCAAGTTGAAGATGAAGAAAATTAAAACAAGTCGCCAGAGTCAAAGTAGGACCTGATTATACTCCATCTGAAGAACAGATTTGACATACTGACCACCAATGTCTGAAGACCAGATGAACTGTGGGATGACACAAAGAACATCATACATGAAGAAAGCAAAAAGTCATTAAAAAGGAAAGGAGGAAAAGACCAACAGGGATGTCAGAAGAGACTCTGAAACTTGAATGAAGAGAGCTAAGGCAATGGAAGAACTGAAATGATGAAGTAAGAGTTGAACAGATTTCAGAAGGTGGCATGAGACGACAAAGTCCAGTACTGTGGCAGTTGTTCCCCGTGATGAGACTGGCAGTCAACTCCATGGTGCGATCTACTACCAGCAGCTGAGTAGCGGCTTTAGGGATGTGGTCTGCTTCCCGTATATAAGCAGCAGCTTTGGGAATGGTCTCCAGCTTAGGGCATCTTGAACCCTGCACGTAGCTGAGTTGCTGTTCAGCAGCCTGCCACGCTCTGCTGATCTTAGGACTTTCAATGGACTTGAATCAATGGCCTGCTGTATGGTTTGGTAACATCGGGACTGTGCCATTTTATTTGTTGACCTTGGGCTTGTCAGTCTCAGCAGCCAGTAGCTGCCCGAGTGAGGAGATGCCTCTACTTCAGTGGGCTGGAAGCAAGAGGCAGAGCTGAAGCCCAAGGCTGAGAGGCTTTCACACAGCCCCTGGAGCCTGGCACTTGGAACTCAGACTTCCAGCCTCCAAATATTGTTAAGAATAAACTCCTGTTTGTTAAAATCATCCCATTTGTGGTATCTTCTGTTAGAGCAACACCAGGTAACCAAAATAAGTACTATATAATGAAATATGCAAAGACCTGGACTTAGAACCAAAAGGGAAGAACACTCTTGGCATTTCTCAAGCTGAAAGAACTGAAGAAAAAATTCAAGCCTCTAATTGCAATACTGAAGGATTCTATGGGCAAAATACTGAACGACACAAGAAGCATCAAAAGATGGAAGGAATACACAGAGTCACTGTATCAAAAAGAACTGGTCAGTGTTCAGTCATTTCAAGAGAGAGCATATGATCGAGAACCACTGGTATTGAAGGAAGAAGTCCAAGGTGCACAGAAAGCATTGGAGAAAAACAGGGCTCCAGGAACTGATGGAACACCCATTGAGATATTTCAACAAATGGATGCTGCACTGGAAGCACTCACTCGTTTATGCCAAGAAATTTGGAAGACGCTACCTGGCCAGCTGCCTGGAAGAGATCCCATTTGTGCCCATTCAAAAAAAAAAAGGGACCCAACAGACTGTGGACATTATTAAACAATATCATTAATATGACATGCAAGTAAAATTTTTCTGAAGATAATTCAAAAATGGTTGCAACAGTACATTGAAAAGGAACTGCCAGAAATTCAAGCCAGATCCAGATGAAAGCATGAACAAGGGTTATCATTGCTGGTATCAGATTGATCTTGGCTGAAAGCAGAGAATACCAGAAAGATGTTAACTTGTGTTTTATTGATTATGCAAAGCCATTCGACTATGTGGGCCACAACAAATTATGGATAACATTGAGAAGAATGGGAATTCCAGAACACTTCATTGTGCTCATGAGAAACCTGTACGTAGACTAGGAGCAGTCATTTGAACAGAACAAGGGGATACTGCATGGTTTAAAATCAGGAAGGGTGTGCATCAGGGTTGTATCCTTTCATCATACATATTCAATGTGCATGCTGAGCAAATAATCCGAGAAGTGACTATATGAAGAACATGGCATCAGGACTGGAGGAAGACTCATTAACAACCTACAATATGCAGATGACACAGTCTTTCTTGCTGAAAGTGAAGATGACTTGAAGCATTTACTGATGAAGATCAAAGACTATAGTCTGCAGTATGGATCACACCTCAACAAAATAAAACAAAAATCTTTACAACTGGACCAATAAAGCAATATCATGATAAATGGAGAAAAGACTGAAATTGTCATGGATTTAATTTTACTTGGATCCACAATCAACACCAATGGAAGCAGCAGTCAAAAAATCAGACAACATATAGCACTGGGCAAGTCTGCTGCAAAAGCCTTCTTTAAAGTGCTGAAGAGCAAAGATGTCACTTTGAAGACTGCGGTGCCCCTGACTCCAGCCACGTTATTTTCAATAGCCTTATGTGCATGTGAAACTGGGCAATGAATTAAGACAGACCGAAGAAAACTTGATACATTTGAATGGAAGTGTTGGTAAGGAATACTGAAAGTATCATGGACTGCCAGAAGGAACAAATCTGTCTTGGAAGAAGTACAGCTGGAATGCTCCTTAGAAGTGAGAATGCCCAGACTTTGTCTCAAGTACCTTAGTCATGTCAGAAGGGACCAGTCCCTAGAGAAAGATACCATGTTTGTTAAGTGGTCAGCTGCAAACCAAAAGACGTTGGTTGGACCCCACCAGCTGCTGTGCATGAGGAAGACAAGGCAGTCGGCTTCCGTTAAGATTTACAGCCTTGGAGGGCTAGGGGGTAGTCTATTCGGTCCTACAGGCTCACTGTGTGTGGAATCCCTCAGTCAGGAAGGGGTACTACAGCCCTTCCACCACAGGCAGAGCTAAGAGCCTTCTCTGCGATGATTTAACCCAATGCCTGATCATTCCGATGAGAACGGAGGCTGAGGTCTGGGGCCTGGCCAAGCAGCTGCTTCCCAATGATGCACAGAGTAATGAATTTAGAATAATGACCGCGAACTGTCCAAAACCCCTGAAAATCAGCCCAGAAGCGGTGTCACCGGCAGAAAGGCTGTGGACGGGGGGGACCCCGCATTCAGTCCATCCCTGGAGCTCCCTTGGCGTGGCAAAGGGGGGAAGGTCTGCTTCCGGGAGGCCTGCGCCCCTCCCGGCAAGGCTCCGATCCCGGAGGGTCGGGGCCCTCGCGGGCAGGGGCCCCGGACGAAGGCGGGAGCTGAGGGCTGGTTGCGAACGCTAGCAGCTCACGGCGTGCACCTTGCAGGGGCCTGCACTGCCGCGTGTGCGCTCAGCTAAGCCCGGGGACTAGAAGCGAGACGTGAGAGTTCCTGAACCGGGAAGGAGGCAAGGCCGGCCCCAGCTCACGTGGCAGGAAGGTCGGAGTACCCGGCCACGGAGACGCCACCCCGAGCCCGGGTCCCACTCCTGAGCTCGCCGCACGCCCCCCACACTGCCCACCTGCCAGGGGAAGGAGCGCAGCGCGCGCGCGGCCAGGAAGCGGCGCTCGAAGATCTGCAGGAGCAAATCGGCCTCCGCACGCTCCTCAGACGCCATGGCGGGGCGGAGCCAGCTGGCGTTGCCCGGGTAACAGGGCGGAAGCGAGGCCGTAGCCGAAGGAAGGCGGGCCCAGGCATGGCTGAGGCGGGACTTGGGACCCGGGAGGCGGGGCCGACATTGCGTCGTCACCGGGAGGCGGGGCCGACGTATGCGCGGGCACCGGAAGGCGGGGCTTGGGGCCGCAAGGCGGGGCAACGTGGGCTCCAGTACATCCCGAGAGTCTTGGCATGGGCCACACTGTCTACACAAGGGTGGGGCGACCTAACGCATCCGTGGCCCCCTATCCACTCTGCCGCTCTGAGACGTGGTAAGAAGGATCCTGACCATCCTCACTGCTCAGCCCTAGTCCGAGGGTGCTATGTGATCTCAGGCCATTGTCGCCCTTGGAAAAGCATGAAGACAGGCGGCTCGCCCCCACTCCCAAGCCTTTGCGTTGGCCCCTGCATTCACCAAGCACTTACTTAAGCACTGTCAGGCACTGGGCGTATGAGAGTGACTTGATGAGAGTGACGTGATAGCTGGGGTTGTGTGTCACCTTGGCTTGACCATGATTCTCAGTGGGTTAAGCAGTTGTGATGTGGTAATTTCCATGATGAGAGTGGTTATACATGCTTTGAGCAGGCAATCCATTGAAAGGGAGTTTCCCTAGCGGTATGGCCTGCTTCCAAAGTATATGTGGACATCCTGGGGAAAGAGCACCTTCTGTGGATCTGGATCCTGTTGTGCTGCCTACAACTGTCCGTGAGCGAACAATCCTCGTCACTCGCTGGAGTCTACAGCCGGTGTACTGCCTGGCAACCTTGAGCTCCTCAGTCCCAGCAGCTGTGTGAGTTGGGAAATGCCTCCAGTTTGAGGTTTGATCCAGGAACTTGGAACTTGCCAGCTTCTATAAGTGTGTGAGCCATTATCCTAAGATAAATTTCTTTCTCTCTCTTTCTCTAAGCTTTACTGGTTTTGCTTCTCTAGAGAACACAGCCTAACACATTTGGTACTGGGAGTGGTTCTAGAGAGACAAAATTGTAAAAATGGGTTTCCTAAATTGGTTGTCACCAATTCTGTTTTGGTTCTCCAATTTGGTTACTTGTAAAGTCACTGGTGACTCTGCCTCCATTAGTAAAGAGGGCCCTGCTAATCTGTGGCATGAGGTGGCAACATTAATATGTAGAATAGCACCACCAATAGATCAATGGTTTTTGAGAAGTGAGGCTCTGGGTGATCGGATATCTGATACTTTTCTGCAATTTTGTCAGCATGAGGAGTATAAGGAAGCTGGTTGGTTGGTCTTACACTAGACAGTGTGGTGAAAGAGATGAGCTCAGAGCTGCTGAGTCTCGGTGTAAGCGCTGCATGAAAGACCTCAGTGTTACCAGTTGTGCTCTGAAAGAAAGCCTTATTTCTTCCAGTAACAGAGCTAATATTGCCAAAAACCAAACCCAGAGTCTTCTTGTAAGGGTGGGTGAATTACAACGCCAGTTGAATTCCCAACCCAGAATGGTGTCTGAAGTTAAAGTGAGGGCATTGATTGGAAAAAATGGGATCCTGAAACCTGGGATGGGGACAGTGGGCAGAAAGTCAGGAGGATGAGGATATGGAGCCTATAAATTCTGTTGAATTCTCCCTCCCATCTGAAAGGATTGCTATAAAACCATTATCCCTTCTACCTCCATTTGATGGGATTAACCCAGCTGTTCCTGCTGGGTCATTGCCTGAGGTAGATGCCATGGAAGACATTACTGAATGTTCTCAGGAACTTCCCAACCACCCATTGTTGCTGCTAGACCTATAACTAAAGTTATGTCCAAGTGAGCCCCAAAAGATGAAGTACAAAGTGTGACTGAGAAAGTGGTATGCTACACATGAAAAGACCTACCTGATTTTGCTAACATGTACAGACAGAAACCTGGACGATATGTGTGGGAATGGCTGTTGAGGGTGTGGGATAATGGTGCAAGGAATGTAACATTGGATTGGTCTGAGTTTATTGATTTAGGCCCACTAAGTACAGATTCTTCATTCAGTGTTTCAGCTCGAGAGGTTAGGAAAGAATCTAATTGTTTATTTGATTGGCTTACTGAAGCATGAATTATGCGGTGGCCTACTTTAAGTCAAGTTGAAGTACCAGACCTGCCTTGGTATAATGTAGAAGGAGGTATCCAGAGGCTTAGGAAAATTGGCATGTTGGAATGGATTTATCAGATGAGACCCCTAGAGCCAGCAATGGAAAGTCCAGAAGACATGCCTTTCACCAGTACAGTGAGAAACAAATTTGTCAAGGGAGCCCCACCATCCTTGAAAGCTTCTGTGATTGCTATTTTATGTAAGCTAGGTTTGGCAGTGGGAACTCTCCTAATTGAACTAAGACACTTAATTACAGCGGGGCTGATTGGACCCCGTGGTAGTAGGGGCCAAGTGGCAGCAGTTAATCAACAAAGACAAGGTGGGTGTGGTTACCGTATGGACAGCAGACTCGGAACAGTAATCAGAATACTCTGACTTGTGTGGAATTATGGCATTGGCTGCTTAGGCATGGTGTTCCTAGGAGTGAAATACATAGTAAGCCTACTAAATATTTACTTGATCTGTATAGACAAAAGAATTCTAGGTCACATGAACAGCAGTCTAGATTGAATCACCAGAATACAGTCACAACCCCTCAGTCAATTCCCAGACTTGAGTTAGTTTACAGACCCACAACCCCTTGAATGAAGGGGAGGCCAGATCTGCTTGAAGAAGGACCCTACTACATTGCCAAAAATTTATACTGTCAGTCTTTCTCCCAGCCTTTTCCAAAGGGAACTGAGGCCTTTTATAAGAGTGACTGTTCATTGGGGAAAAGGAAATAATCAGACTTTTCAGGGATTACTGGATACTAGTTTGAACTGACACTAATTCGAGGAGACCCAAAGTGTCACGGTGGCCCACCAGTCAGAGTGGGGGCATATATATGGAGGTCAAGTTATTGATGGAGTCTTAGCTCAGGTGCATCTCACAGTGGGTCCAGTGGGTCCCTGAACCCATCATGTAGTGATTTCCACAGTTCCAGAATGCATGATTGGAATAGATGTACTGAGAAATTGGCAGAATTCCCACATTGGGTCCTTGACATGTGTAGTAACGACTATTATGGTATGAAAAACCAAGTGGAAGCCATTAGAACTGCCCTACCTAGACAATTAGTAAACCAAAAGCAATACCATATCCCTGGGGGAATTGCAGAGATTATTGCCACCATCAAGGACTTGAAGGATGCAGGGGTGGTGATTCCCACCGCACCACATCCCCATTTAACTTGCCTATTTGGCCTGTGCAAAAAACAGATGCATCTTGGTGAATGGTGGTGGATTATTATAAACTTAATCAGGTGGTGACGCCAATTGCAGCTGCTGTTCCTGATGTGGTTTCATTGCTTGAGCAAATTAGTACATATCCTGGTACTTGGTATGCAGCTATGGAGCTGGCCAGTGCCTTTTTCTCAATACCAACTTCAAAAGACCATCAGAAGCAGTTTGCTTTCAGCTGGCAAGGCCAACAATATACTTGCACAGTGCTTCCTCAGAGGTATATAAATTCCCCAGCACTATGTCATAATTTAGTCCATAGGGATCTTGATTGCCTTTCCCTTCCACAAGACATCACACTGGTCCATTATATTGATGACATTATGCTGATTGGACCTAGTAAGGAGGAAGTATCAATGACTCTAGACTTATTGGTGAGACATCTGCATGGTAGAGGGTGGGAAATTAACCCAACAAAAATACAAGCACCTTCCACCTCAGTGAAATTTCTAGGGGTCCAATGGTGTGGGGCATGTCGAGATATTCCCACTAAAGTGAAGGATAAGTTATTGTATCTGGTTTCCCCCACAACTAAAAAAGAGGCACAACATCTGGTGGGCCTCTTTGGATTTTGGAGGCAACATATCCCTCATTTGGGTGTGTTGCTTTGGCTTATTTATCAAGTCACTTGACAAGCTGCTAGTTTTGAGTGGGGCCTAGAACAACAGAAGGCTCTGCAACAGCTTAGGCTGCCATGCAGGCTGCTCTGCCACTTGGGCCATATGATCTGGCTGATCCAATGGTGCTTGATGTGTCTGTGGCAGATAGAGATGCTGTTTGGAGTCTTTGGCAGGTCCCTGGTGTATCGCAATACGGACCCTAGGGATTTTGGAGCAAAACCCTCCCATCCTCTGCAGATAACTCTCTCCTTTTGAGAAACAGCTTTGGCTTGTTACTGGGCTTTAGTAGAGACTGAATGCCTAACCATGGGCCACCGAGTCACCATGAGGCCTGAGCTGCTCATCATGAACTGGGTGTTTTCTGACTCACAGAGTCATAAAGTTGGACGTGCACAGCAGCGCTCCATCATTAAATGGAAGCGGTATGTCAGAAATCGGGCTCAAACAGGACCTGAAGGCACAAGTAAGTTGCCTATGGTCTCCACTGCAGTCACATTACCTTTCCTCTCCCAGTCTGCACCTATGGCCTCATGGGGAGTTCTTTATGATCAGTTGACATGAGAAAACTCATGCCCAGTTTACAGATGATTCTGTGTGATATGCAGGCACCACTTGAAAATGGACAGCAGTGGCACTGCAGCCTCTTTCTGGGACTTCCCTGAAGAACAGTGGTGAAGGGAAATCCTCCCAATGTGGGGAGAACTTTGAGCCATGCATCTGGCTGTTCACTTTGCATGAAACAAGAAATGGCCAGATGTGTGATTGTATACGAATTCATGGGCTGTGGCCAGTGGCTTGGCTGTATGGTCTGGGACTTCCTGGAAGGAACATGATTGGAAAATTGGTGACAAGAATGAATGGGGAAGAGATATGTGGATAGATCTCTCTGAATGGGCCAAAGGACTAAAGATATTTGTGTCTCATGTGAATGCCCACCAAAAGGTGACTTTGGCAGAGGAGGACTTTAACAATCAGGTGGATAGGATGACACACATTCAGTGGAAACCAGTCATGTTTTTCGCCCAGCTACTTCTGTCATTGCCCTGTGGGTTCATGTACAAAGTGGCCATGGTGGCAGGGATAGAGGTTATGCATGGGCTTAGCAACAGGGACTCCCACTTACCAAGGCTGATTTGGCTACTGCCACTGCTGAGTGCCCAATCTGCCAGCAGCAGCGACCAACACTGAGTCCATGATATGGAACCTTTCCTTGGGATGATCAGCCAACAACCTAGTGGCAAGTTGGTTACATTGGACCACTTGCATCATGGAAAGGACAGCGT